CCTGCCCCCCGGTCCTGCAGGGAAAAACGTGGGATATTCTTTGTCCTCAGGCGCCTGTCCCAGGCACCCGCTCACCAGTCCTGCCACCCTGCCTCCCTAGCACCGGGGTCCCTGTCCCTTTAAGGCTTCCAAAAAGCGCTCGCCAAAAAGAGAAAAAAAAAAGGGGGAAAACGCACGATTTCCTCCATCCTCAAGCGCCGGTCTCCGGCACCCGCTCACCGGTCCCGCAGGGAGAAACGCGGGATATTCTTTGTCCTCAGGCACCGGTCCCAGGCATCTGCTCACCGGTCCCGCCACCCTGCCTCTCTAGCAACGGAGGCCCATCCCTTTAAGGCTTCCAAAAAGCACTTGCCAAAAAAAAACCGCTCCGGTTTCTTTCCACCCGCCGGGAGCCAGGGGGAGGGGCGCTCGGGTCCCGCCGGTGCCGGGGCTTGTATCTTACCCCCTTCACAAGGCGCTGGGTTCTTGCAGATGTGGATGTGGTCTGGATGTTGTCCTGTGTCCTGTGGTCTCTATTTTAGGAAGATTTTTCTTTGGTATATTTTCATAGCTCTATGTGTTTTGGGGAGGAGATTTCCACTGCTCTACTCATGCCGCCAGCCTGGCTCCGCCCCCCTGGATACATTTTTTTAATATGTATTTTTTAATATGTATTATTTTAATATGTATTTTTAATATGTAAGAAATTGGAAGTAAGAAAATAAAAAAGTTGACGACCACTGTTGTGTATGACCAAAAATTTCTTATGTAGAACCCTAGTTTAGATAGAATCCTCTTCCCCTCTATAAAAAAAGGGTTCTTTGGACAAATAATGCTTCTTAATGGTCCCCCTCTTTACAAATCAGTGATCAATATTAGATACTAGAAAGGAGCTAGAAAGTTGTGCATTAAAAACAAAACTACTTTTTTAACTTTGTTGAACTTAGTGACTCCCCAAGCTTACTTCAACATCTTAACACATTAGAAGCCCTCTATTATTGGCAGTTGAAAGTTAACGTGTATTGATTTGTATATAGTATATTAGGAACACAGCACTTTGTACATATTTACATGTTTTTACACACAAGAGCATGCATACACCTGGTGACAATCTTGTTAAGCAGTCAGAAACTGTTCTAAATGTCTGTGCTTAACAACAAGTAGAAAAGAAGTATAAGGTGAAGTACCAGTGAGAACATTAGAGTCCAGCTGAAGATGCGAGTTAGCGTTTCCTTTTATAACCAGGACGCCTCTAAAGTTAATAATTGTATGATTTATTTAGTTATGAGTGGCTGTCCTAGCCACTTTTATCACAGAACACTACCCCTGTTTGCAGAAAAGACTGACAAACTGCTTATTCATTGTTGCATATTATGGCACATTTTCTCAGCTATATGTAATGAGCTTCAAGGAAACAAGTGCCAGTGATAAAATACCCTCTTTCAAGCAAAATTTAGACTTTTGTAATAAGATACTGAAACCAAAATGTTTGAGACCCACTGACATAAAGGATATACAATATTAGAATCTACAAACTTGAATTGATGCAGAAAACAACCCTGCTCTGGGGAATCTTTCCTCCAGGATGTTGTTACATGATTATGACAAATGGTGAGAGTATGTGTAACACTGTATGTACAATGGTAAATATTTACCTTGCAACTTGTAATGCATTTATTTCCCATTACAAGAATTCTTATGTCCAGATATATCATTTGGAATTCACACAGGTATTCTCCATGTAGATGGTCATTGAGTTTTTAAAGAATGGTATACTTTTCTTTTTTAAGTGACATTTTATGTTTTAGGATGGCCGCAGAAGTAATTTTAGCCGACGTTGACAACCAATATGATTGTAAAGTAGATGTATGATCTCTTGGAATAACATGTATTGAACTAGGTAAGCATTGCTCTTTATTACTGTGTAGTAATTTTTGATGAATGTTTTACCTCAATTTCTGTACCAAATTACAGATTTTTATTTTCATGTCAGTGTTTAAGGGGAGCAATAAATCTATTAAAGTTGTCACTTTGCTTATTTGGCAATTTTCATATATATATTAGCTTAGATATATTATATTTGCTGTATTAAATTAGATCTAAAACAGTTTCTACTGTGGTATTAATTTTGAGGTATCTGTGTGTAACATTTAATGAGTATTTGTTAAACACCTAGAATATGTCTGTGGTTATAGATTTACCATCTATGAAGGGTCTCTAAAGCATTCATGAATTACTTACCTCTACTTAGGATACTTAATACTTTGTGTTAGGGATGAGGATTCGATTATCAGGCAGCAGACCTTATTGTACAGTTTGATTTTATGTACACCTTTTATTCTGTTGCCCTAAGTGGTACTATGCCTAAGAAGGTGGACTATCAAAGCTTTGCTGATGCTCCCATTGTAAGTGAGCCAGGTGGGTATTTGAACTGTCACTATAATTGAAGCTGATTGCCATCTTCTTGCTCTTGATTCCCTGCACCAGTCCATAGTACCTTCCCATTTTTTTCTTTAAGCTTTATTTAATAGTAGGAAATACTGGGAATATTTAATTGAACCATTCTAGGAGTGACTAAAGATTGAAAATAACACATTAAAAGTAAAATCCATGTGTCATTTGGATAAATCATGAACCTGGGTTTTTCAGTAGTAAAAGCAGATAGGGAAATTGAGGTAAAATAAAACTAAAAGCTTTCTTATCATTACACAATAAATACTATAATGTCCATTATAACCAGGCTGTTTCTATCTTGCAATCTAATATTTTTTCAAAATAATATACCCTTTAGATTTTTTCACTTTTGTTAGGATTCCTACATTAATCATTCCCTTCAAGCCCTGTATCATCATATATATTTTAAAGCTTGACATCAGCAAAGAGAGATTTGGAGATTACCATGTCATCCTCTTCTGATTTTGTGGTCTCAGTTTGAGGTTTTCAAAGTGTTTCTTACATTTGAAAGTATCTTTAGGTATCTTAAACTCTTGTTCTTTTACTTCTGATTCTTCTTCCAAGCAGTACATCCTAATTAATTTTTTAATAAACTTGCATGTAAATGTACAGAAGCTGGTTAACATACTCTGGCTATGGGGCATTTTTATGGGGTATATGGTTGATGCATATATGTGCCCCTTTTGGTTGGTGAAATTGCATTAATGATCCTTTTAGATATCATTGATATATTTTGATATTCATTTGAGTAGAAAGTATTCCTTGGCTAATTATACTGCTCAGAAAGAAATGTATAAGCTCCAGAGTTTCTATGGGATGGATTCTTATTTTTCCATGTTTCCTAGTTTCTTATTATAGTTCATAAAATAGACTTCCTTCACAATGAGAGTTTTTACACTTAGAATAATAAAGCAATTTCAAATGCAACTGCCTTTAGATAATTTTTAAGGAGTGGGACATTTCAAAGAAATTCTTAGAGTTTTAGGCATGCATGTGGCATCTTCAACTTTTAGAAACTCTTTCATGATAATTTAAAATGTTTACTTACAGATGTTTTGAATTCTGAAATGTCATGAACCAGAACCTGACTCTGGTTCCAGGGTAAAGATCTAGAGTAGCAAAGGCCAATAAAACATTCTGTAGTGGTAGAGATATTCTGTATTTGCATGTCTTTTGAGCACTTGAAATGTGGCTAGTACAACAGAGAAACTGAATTTTAAATTTTGCTTCATTTAAATAGGTTTGCATTTGTGGGGTATTGGGGGGACTCAATAATATGGGTGTAGTAACCACATTGTTTTTCATGTGAAACCTTCATAACTGGAGTGTATATCAATAATACCTTAATAAAAAATTGCATGAAAAAATAAGTTTGCATTTAAATAGTAACATATAGCTGCCCTTTTAGACAAAACAGGTATAGAGGCCTGAATCTTTTCAATGCAAATTAGATTTGCTGTCTTGGGAAGTGTATGTTATGTGCTTTTCTACTTTAAAATAATTAAGGATAATGAATTAAAGCAAACTTTTCTTACAGGGTAGATAAGAGAACAGAACTTAAATCAGTTGTACTGTCTTTGGCTTTCATAAATACAGTTCTAAATAAATATGACTTTCATACCTTATTATCATAGAGGTTGAAATAACTTGAATTTTCTCATAGGTGACTTTATATGTTTGTTCACAGTTTGATGAAAAAGATTCCAATTTTGTTGCTTTTCAGGCTATGTGCATGATTGCACAATTATGTTTATAAAAATAAAATGTGCTATTTTTTCTGATTATAAAAGTACATGTTGAAGAGGTGAGGCTTAGAACCTCACCCCCCCCCACCCCTCTGTTTTGAGAGAAATCTTCTGCATCCATGGATGTTTTGTTTCCCTTGTCTAGCTTGGATCAATACTTAGCCTATAGGCACACACCTGATCATCTACATTTGCTTTCTTACAGCACTGAACTATATTTTCTACCTTTATCTTGCATCTACCTACCACTTCAGCATTTTATTAAAAATAACAATAATAATAATAATAAGGGAGAAATGTGGGATTCACATATAAATCAAGTATAAAAATCAAATGAATATTCATATTTGATCTGAGTGTTTATAGTTCATAGTGCATGATCAAAACCGAAAGTTTCTGTGACGACTGCCCTTGTACTATTCACCATGTAAGAACTTATTCATTATGTAAGAATTTGTACACCATGTAAGAACTTGTTCTTTATGCTTCAGAAGATCCGAGACTGATGAGAATTAGGCTTGGGGTGGATTAATGATTGTGCATTGAGTCCCCTGTACAGAATTTTATTGTTGTTAACTGTTAACAACCATTTGACCAATAAATAAATATGAGAGATGCCCTCTCAAAAAAAAAAGTACATGTTGAGAGTATAAAATTTCAGAAATATGAAAGGTGTAAAAATAACTACTGTAACTTGTTAAAGGATACACAAAATAAAAAGATGTAAATTATGACATCAAAAATGTAAAACCTGGTGGGAAATAAAAATGTAGAACTCTAAAATGCTTTCCAAATTATCAATTTAAAATAGATAATTATAAATATTATTTTTATGTAAGCCTCATGGTAACTACAAAGTTAAAAGCTAGAGTAGATACACAAAAAATAAAAAGGAATCTAAGCATACCACTACCAAAAAAATCAAATCAGAAAGAGAACAAGACGAAAAAGAAAGGAACAAAGGAATTACAAAACAACCAGAAAACAATAAACAAAATGGCAATAAGTACATACTTACCTAAAGTTACTTTAATTATAAATGGACTAAATTCTCCGGTCAAAAAACAGATTGGCTGAATGGATTAAAAATAATAAGACCCATGTATATGAGGCCTACAAGAGACTCACTTCAGATGTAAGAATACATACAGACTGAAAGTGAAAGGATAGAAAAAAATATTCCATGCAAATGGAAACCAAAAGAAAACTGGGGTAGCTGTATTTACAAAAGACAAACTAGACTTTAAAACAGACTAATAAGACACAAGGACATTATGTAATGATAAAGAGATCAGTGCAACAAGAGGACATTTCTGCACCCAAAGTGGTAGCACCTAAGTATATAAAGCTAGTAGGGGGCTTTAACATCCCACTTTCATCAATGCATAGATTATTCCAACAAAACAATCAATATGGAAATACTGGCCTTTAAGAGCACACTGGACCAGATGAACTTAACAGACATATACAGAACATGCCATCCCCAAAACAACAAAATGCACATTCTTCTGAAGCACCCATGGAACATTCGCCAGGATAATCATATATTAGGACACAAAATAGGTCTTGATAAATTTAAGAAGACAAATTACATCAAACATATTTTCCAGAGACAGTGGTATGAAACTTGTAATGAGTTACAAGAAGAAAAATGGGAAATTCACAACTTTGTGGGATTAAACAACATGCTATTGTAACAACCAACGCATCAAAGAAGAAATTTAAAAAACAAGACAAATAATGGAAATACAACATACTAAAACATATGGGATGCACCAAGAGCAGTTCTAAGAGGGAAGTTCATAGCAATAGATGCCTACATTAAGACACTAGGAAGTTTCTCAAGTAAACAACCTTAGTTAAAACCTCAAGAAATGAGAAAAATAAGAATAAACCGATCCCAAAGTTAGGAGAAGGAAGGAAATAAAGATGAGAGCAGGAATAAATGAAATAAAAACTAAAAAGTTAACAGAAAAGATCAGTGAAACTAAGAGCTTTTTTTTTTTGAAAAGATCAAAAGAATAGACAAACCTTTAGTTAGAATTACCCATGATAAAAAGGACTGAAAATCAGAAATGAAAGAAAAGGCATTACAACTGATATTGCAGAAATATAAAGGATCACAAGAGACTACTGTGAACAATTAATATGCCAAAATATTGGACATCATAGAAGAAATGGATAAATTGGAAACATACAACCATGATTCAAGACTGAATCATGAAGATATAGAAAATCTGAAGAGACCGATTACTCATAAAGAGATTGAATCAGTAATCAGAAGCCTCCCAGAAAACAAAATCCAGGACCAGATGGCTTCACTATTGCAGTCTAACACACATGTAAAGAAGTAATACCAGTCCTTCAAACTCTTCCAAAACACTGAAGAGGAGGGAGTACTTCCAAACTCGTTTTATGAAGCCAGCATTACCTTGATAGCCAGAACCAGACAGGGACACTACAAGAAAAGAAAGTTACAGGCCAATTTCCCTGAGGAACATGGGTGCAAAATTTTCAGTGAAGCACTGGCAAACATAATTCAACATTAAAAGGATAATACACCATGATTAACTGTGACATATCCCAGGGATGCAAATATGGATCAATATCTGCAGATCAGTGTGATCCACCACATTAACAAAATGAAGGCTGAAAATCACGATTATCTCATTAGACACAGAATTCAGCATCCATTTGTGATAAAAACTCTTAGGATAAGTGTAAAGGGAAGAAAACTCAACATAATAAAGTCCATATATGGCAAGCCCACTGCTAATATCCTATCTAGTAGCTAAAAGCTAAAAGTTTTTCCTCTAAGATTGGGAACGAGACAAGGAAATCCCCTCACCACTTTATTCGACATAGTATTAGAAATACCATCCAAAGCAATTAGACAAGAAAAAGAAACATAAGGTATCCAGATCAGGAAGGAAGAAGTAAAACTATCACTGTCTACAGATGACATGATATTATATATAGAAAACCCTAAAGACTCCACCAAAAAATAGTCAGAACTGATAACAAACTGAATTCAGCAAAGTTGCAGGATACAAAACTAATACACAGAATCTGTTGCATTCCTATATACTAACAACAAACTAGCAGAAACAGAAATCAGGAAAACAATTCTATTTAAAACCGCATCAAAAAGAATAAAATAGCTAGGAATAAACCTAGCCAAGTAGGTGAAAGACCTATACTTTCTTCATGAGAGAAATTAACCAATAAATGGAAATAATCCCATGTTCATGGATAGGAAGAATTAATATTGTCAAAATGGCCACGTTGCCCAAAGCAATTTACAGAGTCAGTGCAATCCCTATCGAAATTCCAATGATATTTTTCAGTGAGCTGAACAAATAGTTCTAAAATTCATGTGGAACCACAAAAGACCCCATATAGCCAAAGCAATTCTGAGAAAGAACAAAGCTGGGTTGATTATACTCCCTAACTTCAAGCTCTATTATCAAACTACAGAATCAAAACAATATGGTACTGGCACAAGAACAGATCCATAGGTAAATGAAACAATATAGCCCAGATATAAACCCATGCATATATGGTCAATTAATACAATAATATAAAGAAGCCATGAATATACAGTGAGGAAAAGATAGCCTCTTCAACAGCTGGTTTGGGAAAACTGGACAGCTCCATGTAAGAGAATGAAACTGGAAGCAATCCACATTTATGGATAGACATATTTGAGAAACATGTATACAAGATAACAAGGAATAGGATCTCTAACTTTTTTAAATTAAATTTTATTTAAATCACATTAGTTTAGTAGTAGTCACTTATAAGAATTTGAAATGGGGGATATTATGTTCCCTGACTTCAGGCTATAGTACAAAGTAACTCTAATCAAAACAATATGGTATTGGCATAGGAACAGTCCATAGATGAATGAAACATAATAGCCCAGATATAAACCCATGCATATGTGGTCACTTAATATGTATTAAAGGAGCCATGAGTACAGTGGTGAAAGGACAGACTCTTCAACACCTGGTGTTGGCAAAACTGGCCAGCTGCATGCAAGAGAAAGAAACTAGATTAGTGTCTATAACTACACACAAAAGTAAACTCGAAATAGATCAAAGATCTAGATGTAAGACATGAAACCATAAGACTCTTAGAAGAAAACATAGGCAATATCTCTCAAACGTAAGTGTGAGCAGTTTTTTCCTGTACACAACTGCTCAGGAATAAGAAACAAAATAAAAAATGAAAAAGTGGGACTATATACCAAACAAAAATGCTTCTGTACAGCAAAGGACACCAGCAGAACAAAAATGTAACCTATAGTATGTGAGAGTATATTTGTAAATGATTCATCCTATTCGGGGTTAACATCCAAAATACATAAAGGACTCATACTATTAAACACCAAAAAAAAAAAACCCAATTAAAAAATGGTCAGAAGACCAGAACAGACATTTTTCCAAAGTAGAAACACAGATGGCCAACAGGCACATGAAAAAAATGCTCCACATCACTAATCATCAGGGAAATGCAAAGTAAAACCACAATAAGATATCACCTCAGACCAGTTACAATGGCCACTATCCAAGAGACAAGAAAAAACAAGTGTTGGCAAGGATGTGGAGAAAAGGGAACCCTGCTACCCTGTTGGTGGGAATGTAAACTGATATAGCCACTGTTTGGAAAGCAGTGTGTAGGTTACCAAAAAAACTAAAAAGAGAAATGCCATATGACCCAGTAATTCCACTTCTAGGAATTTACCTGAAGAAAACAAAATCCCTGATTCAAAAAGATAGATGCATCCCTCTGTTTATTGCTGCATTACAGTAGCCAAGTTATGAAAACAGCCTAACTGTCCATCAGTAGAGGGGTGCATAAAGAACAGGTGGTACGTATACACAATGGAATATTATTCAGCCATAAGAAGAAATCCTGCCATTTGGAACAACATGGATCAACCTAGAGGGGTAGTATGCTAAGTGAAATAAGCCAGGCAGAGACAAAATACCATATGATTTCACTTTTTTATGGAATCTAAACACAAAACAAAATGAACACAACAGCACTAGACTTACAGACACTGAGTAGTGACTGGTGGTTACTATGGGGGAGAGGTTGGGGTGAGTAGTTGAGGGTGAGGGGGATAAAAGGGCTCAAAAGTTTTCAGTCATAAGTTGTTCAGAGGGATAGTAGTATAGCATGGAAAATATAAGCATTGCTTCTGTAACGTTTTCCCATGTTGACAGTAACTGCAGTAGTGAGGGTGAGGATTTAATATGGGTGACTGTAGAATCACTGTTTGCTTGAAACCAATATAAGATTGAATATCAATGATACTTCAATTAAAAAAATATTTGAAATGGAAAATATCCTTTGAATCCACTGAAGTCTACCACAGTTTAGATTTAGTAAATCTCTATGGTTTTTAGCTAAGTTCAGTGTTCTTTGACTAAATTGAGATGTTCATCTTTATAGTAAATGACAGAATCAAAAATCATACTCTGGTTTGATATATTGATGGTACACCATTTAGAATTTTTGAATACTTTAATAAATCACAGTAGAAACACAAGTTATTTTATTCATTAAGAATTTCTTCAGTAATCCCTTCCCCTTCCTGGATCAAACTACTCATTCTTAAAGCTGTTGGGAGGACAGTGTAAAGTAGGTGTCCATGTCACCTGCTGAGCCATGGTAGCCCAGCGTGGCATGTCAGAGTCCTGTGAGGAGAGGAGGAAGTTCCCACAGACAGACTGCCTTGTATATGGAAGCAGAACCTATGCAGGGAGGGGGGCAGTCAAGTTTGGAGATTCAGAGTCCTGGTGGGGTAACCAAAGCATTCATAGCTGGAAGTAGCCCAGCATGGGGTGTCAGAGGCCAAGGAGCACGTCCATATTTGGATGTGGGTCACCTGACACAGTGGCAGTGCCTGATTGAAAGGAAGGGGGCTTCCCTCCTGAGGGCTGATGAGGAGGGCCTCACTGCAGAAAGTGATCCAGTTTGGATGGGGTGTCAGAAACTGAGTGGATGAAGTGGACATTCACAGTGTAGACAGACTTGGAATAGGGTTTGAAAACCTGATGGGGAAAAGGGGAAAGGGTGGTGGCCAAGATGGGAGACTCGCTATGTACAGGGGCGATTCATCAGACATATTAAGGATAATGAGAGTGAGTTTTCTTACTGTCAGAGAATTGCGTTACAAATAATGGAAAGAGAAGGCTCGAATAAGTAGTACTGTAGTATTGGATTGGAGATATTCTAGTGAACTCAGTTGTTTTCAATAAACAACTAAAGATATTTAATGTGCAAGTATGAATACAAATATATGAGGGGCATGTGTGTTCCCTTCCTCTATCCACTGATAGGATCTAAGAGAAGTGACATGCGCAGTAGCAGTGAGCACACTGCCACAGCTACTTGGAGAAATGGTTGAGCCGCGTCTACAGTAGGGAAAGCATAAGATGATCCTGGAACATCTTAGTGTGCCAGAGAGCAGGGAACCGATCAGGGAATGACGGAGCCATGCCAGAAAGACAGAAGTCGGCTTAAAAAGGTTCTTAACTGCTCAAAAATGAAGCAATTTCAACATCAAAATAAATGATAGTAGCAGGTTATAAATTATTAAATGAAGAATCTAAATCCATACAATAAGAGAATAAAGTGAAATCTTTATGCAAAACAGTATTTATGTAGACTCAAGTACCTTTTCACAAATACTCAATAATCACAAAGGAAACAAGTGAAACTTTACCATGAAACCTTGCGGAATGGCCTTAAGTGATCAAAATGAACACCATCACTACAAGACGATCTGAAACCATGGACCACATCATCGAATACACTGAGAAAAGCGTGACACTTGCTTCTGTGATATTCCTGCCAGAGATGTATAAACCAAATGTAATAACAGCACAAAGCCAAACTGAGAGACATTCAGGAGTCAGAATTGTATACTTGTGAATTGTCAAGGTCATGACTTCAACTGTCACCTTAAGACTAGAAAAAGAAGGGCAAATTCAATCCACAGTAAGCAGAATAAAGAGACCCACAAAAGATCAAAGCAGAAATCAATTAAGTAGAAAATGAAAACAATAGAGAACATCAATGAGATCACAAATTAGTTCTTTGGGAAAATTAATGAAATTAATAAACCTCTAGCTAGATTGAGCAGAAAGAAAACACAAACGACCAATATCAGGAATGACAGGGGACATGACTCCAGATTTTACACATATTGAAAGGATTATAGGGAAATTTTATGAACAATTTTATGTAAGTTTAAAACTTAGAAAAAATGGACAATTTCCTTGAAGGATGCAGATGGTCAAAGCTCATTTTTGCTACAAAGGACATTATTGGGACATTTGATTGAAACTACAATGGAGTTTGAGGATTAGATAATAGTCATGTATTCATATTAATGGTCTGATTTAATGAATGTATTAGGTTCTCTTAGAATGTTCTTGTTTATTGGAAAAATACACTATTTAGAGATGTTGTGCATAAGGGCTGCAATTTACTTTCTATTGACTCATTTGAATAAGTTCTCTGAACTCTACTTGCAACTTTTTTGCTAAGTTGGGGTTTATTAAAAAAGAAAAAAAGTAACAGTACTTCCATGCTCCTATGTGGCAGGCACATATTTTAACAGGAAGTTTTCTTTCTTTTACAGCGGAAAGGGAGCCTCCTTTATGTGAAATGAGTACAGTAAGTGCCTTCTGGCACATAGTCGAAAATGAATCCCCTACACTACAGTCTAATGAATGGTGAGTATGGCTGAGAGATATATTGTTCAACATGGTAAAATTTAAATACTTTTTCATAATGTTATCAAAATGATTTCATTTCAGTGAGGTGAAGTGTATATAACCTGAAGAAATATTAAAATAACTTTATTTTATCCTTACATCATGTTTATCCTTTATTATCTCTACTTTTCATAGCATATATGCAATTTAGTTTAGAAATAAAAAAATGATGCTACATGGGAGGAAAAGTATGGCTTTTGTATAAAAATTAATATATTTTTTGTACCTTCGTGACACATGCAACTCTGATTCTATAATAAATAGCATGATTTAAACATTCATATTTTAAAACTGCAATATATAGATTGCCACAACCTGTATAGATATCTAATTGGGGAATGGTTTATAATTGATATGGTATAAAACATAGGTAAAAATGATTTGATAACTTATCAGAATTTCCAGATAATTCATAATTTTTGGATCATTTTAATTGTTATTTATTATTCACAATGTGGGTTGATGTTGCATCGCTGCTTTGATAATACTGTTATTCATGTAAAGAAATTTATTGAGAACAGATGGACAATTTTAGGAAACAAGGATTTTTATCAGTGATAGAAAATTTTAATGGGAAAGTCTTCAGGTGTATCTAGCATTTGAAAAATTCGAGAAGACTATCTACTGTACTTAACAAATACTTTAAAATTCACAAGATGCATAAATTAGCAATAATTTATTTTTTATCATTACATTATTAAGGCAAGTTCACAGGTCTTTGCTGCTTCTGTAGAGATGTTTCGAAGAAATCTTGGCACAGTTTATTATGGTACATCTGAATAATAAATACACTAAACACAGGCTGTCTTTACACTGGTTGATACTTTGGGGATTCAAAAAAGAATTCTTGTATAAAAGAATTAAATCTTATTTGAATATTGATGACAAACATTGATGGAATATTTTTTACTTACTGCCTTACTGAACTCTCATCAGTAACACTATATAATAGTATGTTACAGAATTCTAATTTTTTAAAAAATTTTACTGTTTTCTGGAACTTTTGTCCATTTGCTCAAGGACACTAAATACTTAGGTATAAAAAATGTTCTTTCCAAAACAAATAGCGTGATGTTCTGAAACATGTTATGATCAAGGGTCAAGCAAGAAAGAGACGTGGCTAGAGAAAAGAAAAAAAAAACTAAGAAGAATATTATCTTAGATTTGAATGCAAAAAGGAAAATGATTGACTTCCCTAATTTACCGCAACGTAGAATGAGTTGTGATACTTAAGTATGTGAGAGCAGGATTTTAAAATAATGTGTGCAAATCTATCTTTGGAAAATGGTAAAGATTCATTAGTTGCTTTGCATAGCTTTTTATAGACTTACATGATGAAATATATAGTGTATTGTGTCTGCCTTTTTTTTTTTATGATTTCTATTCTCCCTCCCACCCATAGGGACATGCCTTGATTTGTGGATGTGTTTTTAAAGGAAATAGCAATATGTTCACTTAATACTTTCCTTTACAATAGGTCCGGTTCTTTTCGCAACTTTGTAGAGTCTTGCCTCCAGAAAAACCCTAAAGATCGCCCTACATCAAAGGAACTTTTAAAGGTCAGTTATACTCTGTTTTGTACACCTAAGAAATTATTTTAAAGAATGTGTTTTATTCTTCTTTGACTCCAAGTCAGTATTAAGTACGCTGTACTGTGTTTTGCTAAAATATTAATTTTATAATACTGTTCTTTCTTGGAAATTTTCTTAGATGCTGTTTTTTCATTTGTTTTACAAAATTAACTGCTTTTACCATGCCTGAATAGAATATATAAATATTCATATAGTAGTACTAAATGGCTTAATTTTTATAAGTGGAAGAATATATTCATGAGTTACAACTATAAATTTTAATGCATGTGGAACAATGTCATTTCAGAGGTGGCAAAGAGACAGGGGACGTGACTCCAGATTTTACACATATTGAAAGGATTATAGGAAATTTTATGAACAATTTCATGTAAGTTTAAAACTTAGAAAAAATGAACAATTTCCTTGAAGGATGCAGATGGTCAAAGCTCATTTTTGCTACAAAGGACATTATTGGGACATTTGATTGAAACTACAATGGAGCTTGAGGATTAGATAATAGTCATGTATTCATATTAATGGTCTGATTTAATGACTGTATTAGGTTCTCTTAGAATGTTCTTGTTTATTGGAAAAATACACTATTTAGAGATGTTGTGCATCAGGGCTGCAATTTCCTCTCTATTGACTCACTTAACTAAGTTCTCTGAACTCTACTTGCAACTTTTTTGCTAAGTTGGGGTTTATTAAAAAAGAAAAAAACTAACAGTACTTCCATGCTCCTATGTGGCAGGCACATATTTTAACAGGAAGTTTTCTTTCTTTTATAGCGGAAAGGGAGCCTCCTTTATGTGAAATGAGTACAGTAAGTGTCTTGTTTCACATAGTTGAAAATGAATCCCCTACAGTACAGTCTAATGAATGGTGAGTATGGCTGAGAGATATATTGTTCAACATGGTAAAATTTAAATACTTTTTCATAATGTTATCAAAATGATTTCATTTCAGTGAGGTGAAGTGTATATAACCTGAAGAAATATTAAAATAGCTTTATTTTATCCTTACATCATGTTTATCCTTTATTATCTCTACTTTTCATAGCATATATGCAATTTAGTTTAGAAATAAAAAAATGATGCTACATGGGAGGAAAAGTATGGCTTTTGTATAAAAATTAATATATTTTTTGTACCTTCGTGACACATGCAACTCTGATTCTATAATAAATAGCATGATTTACACATTCATATTTTATAACTGCAGTATATAGATTGCCACAACCTGTAGAGATATTTAATTGAGGAATGGTTTATAATTGATATGGTATAAAACATAGGTAAAAATGATTTGATAACCTATCAGAATTTCCAGATAATTCATAATTTTTGGATTATTCTAATTGTTATTTATTATTCACAATGTGGGTTGATGTTGCATCGCTTCTTTGATAATACTGTTATTCATGTAAAGAAATTTATTGAGAACAGATGGACAATTTTAGAAAACAAGGATTTTTATCAATGATAGAAAATTGTAATTGGAAATTCTTCAGATGTATCTAGCATTTGAAAAGTTCTAGGGGACTACCTACCGTACAGCAAACACTTTAAAATTCACAAGTAAGATGCATAAAGTAGGAATAATTTATTTTTTATCATTACATAATTAAGGCAAGTTCACAGGTCTTTGCTGCTTCTGTAGAGATGTTTTGAAGAAATCTTGGCACAGTTTATTATGGTACATCTGAATAAAATACACTAAACACAGGCTGTCTTTACACTGGTTGATACTTTGGAGATTCAAAAAAGAATTCTTGTATAAAAGAATTAAATCTTATTTGAACATTGATGACAGGCATTGATGGAATATATTTTACTTACTGCCTTACTGAACTCTCATCAGTAACACTATTAGATAGTATGTTACAGAACTCTAATTTTTTTAAAAATCTTACTGTTTTCTGGAACTTTTATCCATTTGCTCAAGGACACTAAATACTCAGGTATAAAAAATGTTCCTTCCAAAACAAATAGTGTGATGTTCTGAAACATGTTATGATCAAGGGTCAAGCAAGAAAGAGACGTGACTAGAGAAATGAAAAAAAAAACTAAGAAGAATATTATCTTAGATTTGAATGCAAAAAGGAAAATGATTGACTTCCCTAATTTACCTCAACGTAGAATGAGTTTTGATACTTAAGTATGTGAGAGCAGGATTTTAAAATAATGTGTGCAAATTTATCTTTGGAAAATGGTAAAGATTCATTAGTTGCTTTGCATAGCTTTTTATAGACGTACATGATGAAATATATAGTGTATTGTGTCTGCTTTTTTTTATGATTTCTATTCTCCCTCCCACCCATAGGGACATGCCTTGATTTGTGGATGTGTTTTTAAAGGAAATAGCAATATGTTCACTTAATACTTTCCTTTACAATAGGTCCAGTTCTTTTCGCAACTTTGTAGAGTCTTGCCTCCAGAAAAACCCTAAAGATCGCCCTACATCAAAGAAACTTTTAAAGGTCAGTTATACTCTGTTTTGTACACCTAAGAAATTATTTGAAAGAATGTGTTTTATTCTTCTTTGATTCCGAATCAGTATTAAGTACGCTGTACTGGGTTATGCTAAAATACTAATTTCATAATACCATTCTTTCTTGGAAATTTTCTTAGTTGCTAAGTTTTTCATTTGTTTTTCAAAATTAACTGCTTTTACCATGTCTGAATAGAATATATAGTTAAATATTCAATATGGTAGTACTAAATGACTTAATTTTTATATGTGCAAGAATATATTCATGAGTTACAGCTACAAATTTTAACTCATATGGAACAATGTCATTTCAGAGGTGGCAAAGCATAGTTTAACTTTGGATTTAATTTTTGTATCTACCACACTTTATATATCGATCTGTCCTATATAAAGTAATATGAAAGTAAGAGAAATGGTGTGTAATACATTTGCATAAATACTGTGGGAGAAAAGAGATTTCAAAAGAACTGTTAGAAATGGATATCACATTTTTGTTTCCTTTTGAGACACGTTTTTCTAACTTAGCAATGAAAATATTTTAAAAATAATATGAATTCTATTCATTTTTCAGTAGGTTTGGTTACCTAATTTAAATAAATTATTAGTATATGCTTCTGTTCTCAAAAATGTTTTATTTCATTTAGAGGTTGACATCTTATTAATAGCAATAATTGTATTGTTCAAATTAATGTAGTTCTTAAAACATCTAAATAAGGCATTAGTGAGTAGCCATTGACTGTATCTCTTTGTAACTCTAAGAAGTTTTGTGGAGTTTTCACTAGAAAATTAGACTTTCTGCATGAATGTTTTAGAATTTCAAAGAAGTTCAGTTTATTTTCACCAACACCCAGTTCAAGAAGATGCAAGGATATTGAAAGGATCATGTACATATTCAGTAGGGTTATTTACAACTACAGTATGTAGAAGAGCGGTATAAAGTTTCCGTAACACTTAGGAAATTCTAGGCCATAAGCACACTTACAGTCTCAAATGAAATCTCAAGCAATAGGTATTCACAATAGCAACAAAAGGTTTAATATAGGTATGAATTATGTTAGTGAAAAATAAGCAGGATCCATTTGTAGAAAACTATTAAATAACTTAGAATTATAAGATATATTATTTTTGGATAAAAAAGACCAAATATCATAAATAGTGGTACATGCCAAGCTAGGGCTCAAGAAAAGGAAGAATGTGACTGGCTTCTCACATTTGCCTAATGAAAGCAAAAGAAGCTCTTTTGGTAATAACCCAACCCTCCAGGAACGGATACTTGACCTTGGGTGATCAGATCCCAAACCTGCATATATATTCATGTACCTGGTCCATTTTTTATGGTGACCTTATTGGAAGTGATAGGAAGTATCTATCAAGTGCATTCTTCCCTTTGGCCTAATCACATTTCTGTTGCAGTCTGTCATAAGGAAAAAAAATAAAATGGAAAAAAGTGACTTACTGTATGAAGCTATTTATCTCAGAATGAAAAATTGAAAATAATGATCCAGAATTAGAATAATGGTTATGTAAATTTGGCACGAACATTTGATGAAATAGTCTGTAGGCATTATGTTTACGAGGTGAAATAGCATAATACAGCAATGAAGAAAGAATAATATATAGTTACAACTCTTCAGAGAAGAAATAAATTTGAACTAATAAAGGAGGTAAAAGTCTTAAAAGAATTCAAGATCATCTCATGAACTCCAGTGCACAAGGCGTCTTTCTGCAATCTGTGTGCTAACTACAAAACAAATCTATACACAGAAAATTTCTGAGAAGAAATAAATATCCAAAAAATACCAAATGTAACAATGATAATCTTATGGTAGAATTGTTCTTTCTACTTTTCTATATTGGATAATGTTAAACTTTATTAAATATTAATGGTAAAAATCACTAGTACATAACGTCTTTTAATCGACTGCTAGTGTTTTATGAAGTGGCATTTAAGCAACATAAAAGAACCCGTAAAGCCCAAGTGGTAAGTTATGTAATTCACTATCAGTAAATACATTCCTATTGAAATCTAATGTAATTCAGAACTGAATGTATTTCCTCTATGAAATCAGTTCTAAGAATTTGTGAGCATTTACTTAGGGCTCTAATTGGACTTAATTCTTAATGTTCACTTAGGCTGTGATTATTTCAACTCTGCATTTTCAGTTGGCCAACAAAGGTGTCATGTTCAGAGTTTTTGTAAAAAGTACAGGGGAAGTATGTAGTCACAGAGTATATACATGTAAATTAAATTTTATAAATATAAGAAGTAAAAAGCATAGCAGAATTAGATAGCTATAGATTACATGCATTATCTATCACTATTTAGGATAGTAACTCTAGGGTCCAAGAAGGGATTCATTTGTTCTGAATGAAAAAATATATAGGTCTCAACCTGACTTTTGCCTTCTACTCTTAACCAGCACCCATTTCTTCTTCGGGAGCGCCCTACAGCAGTGTTAAGAGATCTCCTTCAAAGGGCAAAGGATGTGCAGAAAGAGCTGGACAACCTGCAGTACCAGAAGAAGAAGGTCCTTTCCCAGGAGGCACATAAAGGGCCAGCAGTAGAAGCACAGGAAGAAAAGGTAATAACTTAGAAACGGCTCAAGTATTGGGGTCTCCTTATTGGCTTCTTTCCTTATGGAACTTTTCTTGCCAAGAATCTTTTATATCAGTGGTTTCCAGATTGTGTCTTCACAGTGATTCTCTAAGGTCCCAGGTGGAGAAAAAGGTTTTGCATTCTTTAAACCAACCTCTTGGTAGTGTACATTAGCATAGTAAAGCTCTGTGAAGTCTTTTATTAGAGAAACCTGTTCAACTTTTATTTAATCTAGTCCCTCTCAAAATTCTGGTCTACTGAACACTTTTTTGCCTGATTGTCTGATGGCATGGGACACGCTTTTGGAAGTATTTGAAATTACAGGCTTTGGAAGTTGACGGTGCTCACAGAGAAGTCATTAGAATTACCAACCATTTTCCTTATCTTGTTTATTGTATAATCCTTTCCCTCAGTTCCTTTTATGTAATGTTTTATAAGTGTTTATTAAATTGGAAATTTCTTGCTTTTTTAAAAATAAATAAATAAATAAAATAAACATGTGACTTAGCTAAATTTATCCTGGGGGAAAAAAATTACCAAGCATTCTTATTCTGTTACTAAGAACACTTCATTCTTTTCAGTTGTGTATAGGGATTCATTCCTCTACATGGTTCTAAAATACTCATTTTATAGGTGAGTAAAGTAAGGCTCAGAGTGGTTAACTAACTTACTGTAGAAGCATATGGGTTCGGATTCATATATTACTCTTGAGACCAAGTTGTTTCCATGTTGCCATGTTTCCAAATTTGCAGTAGAAATGTTACAGAACTTCCTCAAAGGAAAATATAAAGCTAAAGGAAAAAATTATATAAAGGAAAAGGAAATATATATATATATAAAGGAAAAGGAAAAAATTTGTGGAGCTATCTTTTTTAGTCAAAGTATTTTCTGTTTTCTTATTTGCTCATGTGACAATGCCAAAGCTTTGATTCTTTTTTATGAGAAATATCCCTGCATTCTGAAACCGAGAGTAGTGGTTACTTTTCTTTTTAATAACACTACATAATTAATGAACTATAAAATAGAAGACTTTCTTACATACAGTTTTGGTATTTTTGATATTGTTTTTTAGTTCTAACAGTAGTCACTAGAAAATTGGGGCTATTTTAGGTATATGAAATGCTTTAGTAAAGTGAAATTAATAAAATTCTAATGTCATTAAACATTAGAATAACAGCAACTTTTTAAGGCTGTGGATGTAAGAAAAGATCCTCCATATACCATGGGTCTGTATTTATTATTCTGCATATCTTAAAGAGTTTTGGTATGGTAAGACTGTAATATTGGTGCCCAGATACCAAAGCTTGCCGGGTTTCTTCAGAAGAACAGTCTTCTAATTATGATTAAATATAAATATAATTTTTTAATTTTACACAAAAATAGGAATATTAAATTACTTAGTGGAAAAAGTTTGGGCTAAAGACTGTATTCTGAGAAGGAAAGAAATATAAAAGGCTTCAGTAAAAAAAAGAGATGTTTATAGGATTAAAAAAAAAGGTTGGGGTTTGTTTTCACCATTGGAATCATTGAGAAATGAGCAGCATCTCTGTGTATACCCCATGAGATGTGTAGTAGAAATGGATTTCAAAATAATGTCAAAAATTTTAGAGAAAAGACTACACTTTGGAAATAACTCTGAATTGATTAACTTTTTCACATAGTTGGTTGGGCTTTTTGGTATTTACTACTAATAAAGGAGGTAAAAGTCTTAAAAGAATTCAAGATCATCTCATGAACTCCAGTGCACAAGGCATCTTTCTGCAATCTGTGTGCTAACTACAATACAAATCTATACACAGAAAATTCCTGAGAAGAAATAAATATCCAAAAAATACCAAATGTAACAATGATAATCTTATGGTAGAATTGTTCTTTCTACTTTTCTATATTCGATAATGTTAAACTTTATTAAATATTAATGGTAAAATCGCTAGTACATAACGTCTTTTAATCAACTGCTAGTGTTTTATGAAGTGCCATTTAAGCAACATAAGGGAACCCATAATACCCAAGTGGTATGTTACGTAATTCACTATCAGTAAATACATTCCTATTGAAATCTAATGTAATTCAGAACTGAATGTATTTCCTCTATGAAATCAGTTCTAAGAATTTGTGAGCATTTACTTAGGGCTCTAATTGGACTTAATTCTTAATGTTCACTTAGGCTGTGATTATTTCAACTCTGCATTTTCAGTTGGCCAACAAAGGTGTCATGTTCAGAGTTTTTGTAAAAAGTACAGGGGAAGTATGTAGTCACAGAGTATATACATGTAAATTAAGTTTTATAAATATAAGAAGTAAAAAGCATAGCAGAATTAGATAGCTATAGATTACATGCATTATCTATCACTATTTAGGATAGTAACTCTAGGGTCTAAGAAGGGATTCATTTGTTCTGAATGAAAAAATATATAGGTCTCAACCTGACTTTTGCCTTCTACTCTTAACCAGCACCCGTTTCTTCTTCGGGAGCGCCCTACAGCAGTGTTAAGAGATCTCCTTCAAAGGGCAAAGGATGTGCAGAAAGAGCTGGACAACCTGCAGTACCAGAAGAAGAAGGTCCTTTCCCAGGAGGCACATAAAGGGCCAGCAGTAGAAGCACAGGAAGAAAAGGTAATAACTTAGAAATGGCTCAAGTATTGGGGTCTCCTTATTGGCTTCTTTCCTTATGGAACTTTTCTTGCCAAGAATCTTTTATATCAGTGGTTTCCAGATTGTGTCTTCACAGTGATTCTCTAAGGTCCCAGGTGGAGAAAAAGGTTTTGCATTCTTTAAACCAACCTCTTGGTAGTGTACATTAGCATAGTAAAGCTCTGTGAAGTCTTTTATTAGAGAAACCTGTTCAACTTTTATTTAATCTAGTCCCTCTCAAAATTCTGGTCTACTGAACACTTTTTTGCCTGATTGTCTGATGGCATGGGACACGCTTTTGGAAGTATTTGAAATTACAGGCTTTGGAAGTTGACGGTGCTCACAGAGAAGTCATTAGAATTACCAACCATTTTCCTTATCTTGTTTATTGTATAATCCTTTCCCTCAGTTCCTTTTATGTAATGTTTTATAAGTGTTTATTAAATTGGAAATTTCTTGCTTTTTTAAAAATAAATAAATAAATAAAATAAACATGTGACTTAGCTAAATTTATCCTGGGGGAAAAAAATTACCAAGCATTCTTATTCTGTTACTAAGAACACTTCATTCTTTTCAGTTGTGTATAGGGATTCATTCCTCTACATGGTTCTAAAATACTCATTTTATAGGTGAGTAAAGTAAGGCTCAGAGTGGTTAACTAACTTACTGTAGAAGCATATGGGTTCGGATTCATATATTACTCTTGAGACCAAGTTGTTTCCATGTTGCCATGTTTCCAAATTTGCAGTAGAAATGTTACAGAACTTCCTCAAAGGAAAATATAAAGCTAAAGGAAAAAATTATATAAAGGAAAAGGAAATATATATATATATAAAGGAAAAGGAAAAAATTTGTGGAGCTATCTTTTTTAGTCAAAGTATTTTCTGTTTTCTTATTTGCTCATGTGACAATGCCAAAGCTTTGATTCTTTTTTATGAGAAATATCCCTGCATTCTGAAACCGAGAGTAGTGGTTACTTTTCTTTTTAATAACACTACATAATTAATGAACTATAAAATAGAAGACTTTCTTACATACAGTTTTGGTATTTTTGATATTGTTTTTTAGTTCTAACAGTAGTCACTAGAAAATTGGGGCTATTTTAGGTATATGAAATGCTTTAGTAAAGTGAAATTAATAAAATTCTAATGTCATTAAACATTAGAATAACAGCAACTTTTTAAGGCTGTGGATGTAAGAAAAGATCCTCCATATACCATGGGTCTGTATTTATTATTCTGCATATCTTAAAGAGTTTTGGTATGGTAAGACTGTAATATTGGTGCCCAGATACCAAAGCTTGCCGGGTTTCTTCAGAAGAACAGTCTTCTAATTATGATTAAATATAAATATAATTTTTTAATTTTACACAAAAATAGGAATATTAAATTACTTAGTGGAAAAAGTTTGGGCTAAAGACTGTATTCTGAGAAGGAAAGAAATATAAAAGGCTTCAGTAAAAAAAAGAGATGTTTATAGGATTAAGAAAAAAGGTTGGGGTTTGTTTTCACCATTGGAATCATTGAGAAATGAGCAGCATCTCTGTGTATACCCCATGAGATGTGTAGTAGAAATGGATTTCAAAATAATGTCAAAAATTTTAGAGAAAAGACTACACTTTGGAAATAACTCGGAATTGATTAACTTTTTCACATGGTTAGGCTTTTTCGTATTTACTTTTTGGTCACTTTTTTTTATCTGTCAACTAACAATTGATAAACTTCCTGGTCTTGGCAAATACAAGGAGTTTCTCAAAATAAACCACCAACTTTCTAAAGACTGTACGTGCCAAGCAGTGTGCTAGGTGCTAATAATCAAGAATTCAGGAGATAAAGATATTTGAATCTAATGCTCTTTTCCCTGAGGAACAAGATCACGGTGTTGGACAGACAGGAATAGTGAATCTTGTTGGAAGTAATCAGTCTATTGCCAGCATATCCAACAGGGCCAGTAGTCAAAGCAATAGTGTTAACAGTCTTCTAGATGCCTAAGATGACAAGAGTGAGCTGGACTTGATGGAGGGAGACCACACAGTCATGTCTAATAGTTCTCTCATCCATTTAAAACCCATGATTATTTGAATTTCAGTGAAAAAAATTTCAACTTTGTTAACTAATTTTCTTCGTCTGGTTAGTTTAAGAGTTTGGGGTTTTTTTTCCTTTGATGTTTCAGAAGTTTGGAACATAATTTTAGACAACTTACTTTAAAATGACAAAAGGCTTTTTAATTCCCAGTTTAATGTCTTTTAGGAAACATGTTTTGAGAATGCAAAAAGAATATTTTTTAAATCTTAAAAGAAAGAAAGAAATACCATATAATGTTTTATTTGAAGTTACTTAGATGAAAATGAAGGTATTTAAAAATAGTAAGGATACAACATGATTTTAGTGATAATGGTTGCCCTTGGGAAGTGGAGAAAGGTTTAAGGTAGGTGATAATCAAAAGTGACTTTTGTGTTTTCCATAATGTTTCCATTTTTAAAATAAAACTGAGTGTAATTGTAGAAAATTACAATTCTTGGTTTAGGAAATAAGGATGTTTGCTGCACTTTCACGTGTAAGATTTTAAATTTTCTTGAAAACATTTGAAGATCAGGTAACTCCTTTTGCAATTGATAGGAATGCTTCCTTTTTAACTTCACTGCTTTCAATATTACCAAAAAGTTACTAGGCACAATAGCTAAAAGATGGAGCCAAACCAAGTATTCATCAACACATGAATGGTTAAACAAACCATAGTATATACATACAATGGAATATTATTCAGCTGTGGCAAGGAACAGCGTTCTAATATATGCTACAACGTGAGTGAACCCTGAAAACATGCTAAGTGTATTATTAGAATTCCACTTTTATGAAATATCTAAAATAGTCAAATTCATAGAAAGCAGATTAGAGGTTGCTAAGGGGCAAGTGGAAGATGAAATACTTTCATTTTTTTACTTTTTTTATTTTGGTATCATTAATGTATGAATACATGAGCAACATTATGGTTACTAGACTCCCCCTATTATCAAGTCCCCACCACATACCCCAGTACAGTCACTGTCCATCAGCGCACTAAGATTCTATAAACATCATACATGTCTTTATGTGAACATGATGTTTTAATTTCTGTGACAAATACATAGGGTAAAATTGCTGAATCATAGGGCATATGTATGTTTGACTTCATAAGAAACTGTCAAACAACTGTCTGAAATGGTTGTACTGTTTCACATCCCCATTAACAATGTATAAGAGTTGTAGTTGGTTCACATCTTCTCCAGCATTTGGTTTGTCAGTCTTTTTATTTTAGCCTTTCTGGTGGGAATGAAATGGAATCTCATGATGGTTGTCTTTGCAATTCCCTATGACTAAAGATGGCACCAGAATCACCTTGTCATGTGTTTATTGTCCATTCTTGTATCTCTTTAGTGAAGTGTCTTTTTAAGTCTTTTGTCTGTTTTCTTATTCAAGTGTTCATCTTTTTAATACTGATTAGTAGGAGTTTTTATATACTCTGGGTATAGGTATTGTATCTCAGATATGTCTTGCAAATATTTTTCTCCATCTCTGATAAATTAAAACTTTTTAGTTTTAAAATCAATTTAAACAACCCTTTAAAAATGAGTAAAGGCCATAGAAAAGCTAAAAGCTTTTACTCTAAAATCAGGAATAAAACAAGCTGCCTACTCACAACACTTTTATTCAACAGAGTATTGGATGTCCTAGCTATATTAATGAGGCAAGAAAAAGAAAGAAATGGCATCCACACTGGTAAGGAAGAAGTGAAACTGTCATTGTTTGGAGATGACCTGATACTACATACAGAAAGCCCTAAAGACTCCACCAAAAATATTAGAATCAATATATCAACTATACCTCAATTTTTAAAAATGTGTTAAAGACTTGAATACACATTTATCCAAAGAATATATACAAATGGCCAACAAGCACATGAAAAGATGCTCAATATACTTAGTCATTAGGGAAATGCAGATCACAACCACAACGAGGTACCACCTTATTGCCTCTAGGATGGCTAGCTACTCTTTTTTTTTTTTTTTTAAGGTATCATTGATATACAATCTTAGGAAGGTTTCACATGAGCAACATTGGTTACTACATTCACCCATATTATTGAGTCCCCCCTAATACTCCATTGAAGTCACAGCATAGTAAGATGCTGTAGAGTCACTGATTGTCTTCTCTGTGCTATTACTGCCTACCCTGTCTCCCCCTTCTATACTGTGTGTGCTAATCATAATGCCTCTTAATCCTCTTCTCCCTCCCTTCCCCACCCACCCTTCCCACCCCCTTCTCCTTGGTGACTGCTAGTCCCTTCTTGGACTCTGTGAGTCTGCTGCTGTTTTGTTAGATGGCTCGCTATTAAAAGAGAAAAACAAAAATAAAGATGGAAAATAACAATTAGGGAGCACATGGAGACATTGGAACTGCTGGTAGGAATGTAAAATGTCAGCTGCTGTGGAAAACAGTTGATGATTTCTCAAAAAGTTAAACATGGCATTTCCCCATGACCCAGCAATTCTACTCCAAGATATATACCCAAAACAATTGATAGCAGGTACTTAAACAAATGCGTATACATAAATGTTCATAACAGCAGTACTCACAATAGCCAAAAGGTGGAAACAACACAGAGATCCAGCAACAAATAAACGGATAAACAAATTAGGGTATGTGCATACAAATATGGAATAATATTCAGCTATAAAAAGGAATGTAGTACTGATACACGCTGTACAATATAGATGAACCTTGGAAGCATGCTAGGTGAAAGAAGCCAGATACAACAGGTCACATATTATATGAAACATCCAAAATAGATAAATGCATAAGCAGACAATAGATTGATGGTTACCAGAAGGGGAGATTGGGGAGCAACTGCTTCAAACATACAGGGTTTTCTTATGAGGTATTAAATATGTTTTGTAACTAGATATGGGCAGTCATTGCAGATCATGAATATACTAAATACTACTGAATTATTTACTTTAAATGACTAATCTTACGTTATGTGAATTTTGACTCTATTTGAGAATCCAGTTTGTATATTTTTTTCATTATAGTCAGTGTTTTTTGTGTCCTACCCAAGAAATATTTGCTGACTCCAAAGTCATGACAATATTCTGTGCTTTCTTCTGCTGTATGATTCTGGATTTTAGGTTTAGGTCAAGTGACTCTTTTCAAATTAATTTCTGTATATAGCATGATTAAGCACTTATTTATTTGGAATGCAGAGAACCAGTTGTTACAACAGGATGTGTTTAAAACACTTTCTTTTCCTCTTTGAATTAACTTCCTCTTTGAAGACCTAATGCCCATCCTCCTCAAAGGTTTCCAAAAATTAGAAGAGGAGGGAATACTTCCACCCTCATTCTATGAGGCCAGCTTCACTCTAATTCCAAAACAAGGCAAATATACCACACACACAAAAATTATACACCAATATCACTGGTGAGCGTAGACGCAAAAATACTCAACAAAATCAAATTACAAAATATATCCAACACAATGTCTATCATGATCAAGTACGATTTATTCCAGGGATGCAAGGATGGTACAACATTCAAAAATCCATCAGCATTATCCACCACAATAACAGAAAGAAGGACAAAAACCACATGATCATCTCCATAGAAGCTGAAAAAGCATTTGACAAAATGCAACATCCATTCATGGTAAAAAAAAATCTCAACAAAATGGGAATATAGGTCAAATACCTCAGCATAATAAAGGCTGTCCATATATGATAAACCCACAGCCAACATCATACTTAAGTGAGGAGCTGCAATCTTTTCTTAAGATCAGGAATCAGACAAGAATGCCCACTCTTTCCACTTTTATTCAACATAGTACTGAAGGTCCTAACCACAGCAATCAGACAACACAAAGAAATAAAAGGTAGCCAGATTGGTAAAGAAGTTAAACTGTCACTGTTTGCAGATGCCATGATATTGTACATAAAAAACACTAAAGAATCCACCCCTAATCTACTAGAACTAATAACTGAATTCAGCAAAGTGGCAGGATACAAAATTAATACACAGAAATCATCACATTCCTATACACTGACAATAAACTAGCAGAAAGAGAAATCAGGAAAACAATTCCATTCACAGTTGCATCAAAAAGAATAAAATACCTAGGATTAAACCTAACCAAGGAAGTGAAAGACCAATACCCTGAAAACAACAAGACAGTCGAGAGAAAGAAGATATCAATAAATGAAAATAGCATCCTTTGCTCATGGATAGGAAGAACTAATATTGTCAAAATGGCCATCCTGCCTGAAACAATCTACTGATTCAATGCAATCCCTATCAAAATGCCAACAGCATTCTTCAATGAACTAGATCAAATAGTTCTTAAATTGATATGGAACCACAAAAGACCCCAAATAGCCAAAGCAATCAGGAGGAGGAAGAATAAAGTGGGGGGGGGGGCAATTATGCTCCCCAACTTCAAGCTCTACTGCAAAGGCAATTTGGTAATGGAACAAGAACAGACCCATAGAACAATGGAACAGACTAGGAATGCCAGATATAAACCCAAGCATATATGGTCAATTAATATACAATAAGGGAGCCATGGACATACAATGGGGAAATGACAGCATCTTCAACAACTGGTGTTTTCAAAACTGGACAGCTACATGCAAAAGAGTGAAACTGGATTATTGTCTAAACCATACACAAAAGTAAATGCAAAGTGGATCAAAGACCTGAACATAAGTCATGAAGCCATAAAACTCTTAGAGGACAACATATGCAAAAATCTCTTGAATATGAACATGAGCAACTTTTTCCTAAATGCATCTTCTTGGGCAAGGGAAAGAAAACAAAAAGGAACAAATGGGACTACATCAAGCTTCTGTACAGCAAAGGACACCATCAGTAGAACAAAAAGGCATCCTACAGTATGGGAGAATATATTTCTAAACAACATATCTGACAAGTGATTAACATCCAAAGTATGTAAAGAGCTCACGTTGCTTCAACACCCAAAAAGCAAATAACCCGATTAAAAAATGGGCGCAGGATATGAACAGATACTTCTCCAAAGAAGAAATTCAGATGGCCAATGGGCACTTGAAAAGATGCTCCACATCACTAATTACCAGGGAAATGCAAATTAAAACCACAATGAGATATCACCTCACACCAGTTAGGATGGCCAACATCGAAAAGACTAGGAACAACAAATGGTGGCTAAAATGTGGAGAAAGGGATCCCTCCTACACTGCTCATGGGAATGTAAACTAGTTCCAATCATTGTGGAAAGCAGTATGGAGGTTCCTCAAAAAACTGAAAATAGAAATCCAATTTGACCCATGAATTCCACTCCTAGGAATTTACCCAGAGAAAAAAAGTTGTCAGATTCAAAAAGACATATGTTCCCCTATGTTTATTGTAGCTCTATTTTCAATAGCCAAGATTTGGAGGCAACCTAAGTGTCCATCAGTAAGATGGATGGATAAAGAAGTGGTGCATATACACGATGGAATACTATTCGGCCATAAGAAAGAAACAAATCCTACCATTGGCAACAACATGGATGGAGTTAGAGGGTGTTATGATCAGTGAATTAAGTCAGGGAGAGAAAGACAAATACCAAATGATTTCCCTAATTTGTGGACTATAACAATGAAGCCAAACTGAAGGAACAAAACAGCAGCAGACTCACACACTCCAAGAAGGGACTCGCGGTTACCAGAGGGTAGGGGTGCAGGATGGCTGTTGGGGAGGGAGGGAGAAGGGTATTGAGGGCTATTATGATTAATACACATGGTGTGGGGGGGTTCATGGAGTGACAGTGTAGCACAGAAAAGACATGTAGTGACTGTGGCATCTTACAACACTGATAGATGGACAGCAAGTACAATGGGGTATGGGGCACTCGATATCAGTGAATGTAGTAACCACATTGTTTTTCATGTGAAACCATCATAAGAGTGTATATCAATGATACCTTAATAAAAAAAAGTCATTAAGTATTCTGTTCTGGGCCTTGGGTACTTTGGTTACTGAGGAGTTTGATAAATCAGTTAGGTGATTTAAGTTTCAAAAAGTCATTCTCTGTGTACTTCTTGGAAACCTTAAATTTATAGTAGCATTTTTATATCAAGAATTGAAGAGTACTGTAATATACAGAGAATGTTAAATTAAGAGGGATTAAGGCTTCAGTTTCAGATTGAGCCCATTTTTTTACTACAAATAAATATCATTCTACTATATAATAAAGGTGCATTTTTTTAGGGGTCTTATGTGAAAACTTGTCTTATAATTTCCTTGGTGTCCTATTAGTTTCCATTTTGTTAATAACAGTTGTCAAGTAAAATATAAACTTCTCAATAAATTTACACTGTATCTTCAGATATGTCTGGCTAGTCTGCCCTGAGGCATTTATAGCTAACCCTGTTCACCCTTCCCTGAAAAAAAAGAAGAATCACTCTCTCACAGTAACAGAGAATTTAGCAAAATGATTTCTGGTATAAGTGAATATTTGATTTTGAAAGAATTTGGTGAAAGAGTGTAGAAATATTAAGATTCCTGTTTGGTGTTGTACTTTCTTGAATACTTTGTAAAGAAGTAGATACTAACATATTTAGGAAAGCAATTCATGAAACAGGATGTGCAATATGATTTTTTATTTGTTTTATATATTTATATCTATATCTACATATGCCTAGAAAAAATTAGGAAGTGTTTGCACCAAAAAGTTTATATTGGTTATCTCTGGGTGCTAAAATCATGTCAGATTTTTCTTCTTTGTGTTTTTCTGTATTTCCTAAATCTTCTACAATGAATATGCATAGTTCACCCTTGAATAACATAGGTTTGAGCTGCACAGGCCCATGTATACACATTTTTTTTAATACAGATCTTTGAAAATGTTTTGGGAGACAGTTTAAATGAGCATTTTCTTTTTTCTAGCTTTCTTTATTGTAAGAATACAGTATATAATTTATACAACATACAGAATATGTGTGAATATCTGTTCATGTTGTTAGTAAGGCTTCCAGTCAGCAGCATAGTATTAGTAATTAAGCTTTTGGGAAGTGAAAAGTTGTATAAGGATTTTTTTTTACTCTGTTGGGAGTCAGCACCCCTAATCCCCATGTTGTTTAAGGGTCAACTATTGCATGTATCATCAGAAATAAAATAATAATATACAGGTATTTAATATTTAACATTTTCATATTATTTAAAATACAAATTAAAAGTCAGGGTTTAATTTGAAGATGAATGTATTACATTGTTTAATATACAAGTCAAGCTAGATAAAAGGTCATAAATTAATTACATTTGTTTTGTTTTATTAGCAGGGGTCAGGCAGCATACTCCAGTTAAATGGGGGGAAAAGGTGGAAACACTGACCCTATAAAAGATCAGCATTTTAAAGATGAGTTCCATTTTATTGGTTCTCTGAAATTCAAATAATAAGGATGCTGACTAATACTTGTTAATAACTTATTGGATATTGTTTTGATAATGATTATACTGATTTTATATTCTTAGGTGGGAGGAAGTATCCTTGCTAATGTGAATTAAACTGCTGCTTTGAAGCTTATCTGCTTAGCTAATTTGATCCATTTAAAAAATTTCCCATAGGCTAAAGTGATGACCAATGAGGAGAAAAAATTTCATAAACATATTCAGGCCCAACAGAAAAAAGAACTGAATAGCTTTTTGAAGTCTCAGAAGAGAGAATATAAACTTCGAAAGAAACAGCTTAAGGAGGTAATTACTTTATAAAAATTTTCAAGCCACTTACCTGCTATGAGTATTGATCTACTCGTAGAACCATTAGGATAAATTTTTCTTTTGTTTGGGGCCACTAACTATATATCAGTTTAAGTGAGGACATTGATTATAATCTATTACTTTTCAATGACTGAGATTCTCAGTTGAGTGGGATCTAAAGAGTGATCTCTTCAAAATGTAAATTATTTTATAAAGCTATTATTTATAATAGCTTTCCTAATCACTTATTAAGTAACTGAGTCACTAGAAATAAAAATATTTTGGCTGTGAAAAGAGCCATACATTTCTTCCTTTAAATGTAAATCATACCTTCTTACTTTGGGCTCAAATTACAATCAATAATTTATTCTTATTCTGATTTTAACAGAATAAGGATAAGAGGCATTTCTGCTCATTACATTTTCTTTAATATGAAAGCATGCTAATTAAGTCTTTATGGCTACATGATTTCATGTGTGTTTGCCCTTTATGTGCTGCTTTCTTGAACTTCTTTTTATCACAGATCTAGTCTGTGAGGAAAGCCATAGTTGTTCCAATGCAGTTTCTGAAAGGGGATTATTTTTCAGGATAGTGGTCAGGACAGGAAAACGATATGTGTCAACTATTGCATATTTATTATATTGCAGAGAATATAAATCAGCCATCTTTCATAGGTATAAGATGATTTTACAGAGACTATTGACCTTATGGTTCTTCACCTGTTATTCAAGAAAGAAACCAATTCTACTTTCATTGATAAGACACTCAAACACATGAATATAAAAAGCACATAAACTTGTAGTTCTCAACTTAAGGATGTCAATGAGAAGACAGACACTACAGGTGTATACACAAAGAGTAATTTGGCTATGTTTTTCGAAATCTTTTGCCAACGAAATTCCCCACCCACCACTTCCCCAGTTTACAGCCCCTCTTACAGACTGATGGACTGAAATTTTTAGTCCATGTAATTAATTATTAGCACACAGATAATTAATCTTGATAAAATAGCCATAATCTCTTTGGTACAGTGCTGTTGCATGTTTAGGAATTTGACTTATAACTAGATATGTAAGTCTTATTAAGGACATATTGGTGGCACAAAGGCTTGCTATATATACCCTGCCGAGTGAGGTTCATTGATAAGATTTTTCCAACCCTGAAGAGTATAACCTGCTATGCTTTCCAACCCTGAAGAGTATAACGTGCTATGCATTTCCATTTCTGTAATCTAAAAGCTAAACTCAATACTAGAACATGGGATTTGAAAAGATGCTAAATAGGATTTCCAACTGTAAATAAATATCCAACAAAATGCAATTCTGTAGTTCTTTCCTAGTGAAATGAGATTTTAGTTTTATAAATGGGTGTGTTGGTTTAGATAATCCTTTAAGCATATAATTCATAGTCTAATCTCGTTTTAGAAGGTAGTTTTGTGTATTTTGTGTGTGTGTGTGTGTGTTCATTTAGAATGATTATTATCAGTATAGAGGAAGGGACATACTAGAGTCTTGGGTGGGGAATTTCTTTGGCAAAAGATTTTGAAAAATATAGCCAAGTGATTCTTTGTGTATATGCCTATATTATCTGTCTTCTCATTGACATCCTTAAATTAAGAACTACAAGCTTATGTGCTTTTTATTTTTATGCGTTTGGATATCTTATCAATGAAAGTAATGAATAATTGTTCTTTCTTGAATAACAGATGAAGAACCATAACGTTAGTAGTCTCTGAAAAATCAACTTAGACCTAGGAAAGATGGCTGATTTATATTCTCAGCAAGGTTGATGCATTTTAGGTTAAATATGCTAGTATTAATTAGCATCCTCAGGTTTCCATCATTGAATGTATTGTCAATATTCTCATCTTGTCCAGTATAAATGAATTTTTTTTAGGTAGTTTGTAAGATGATATTCAAAATGCTTTAGAAAAACATTGGTCTTGCCTTGTTCAGTGAGTATAGTGCTGAATATTAAATGCATTCTGAAAGGTCTGTGTTTTCCAATGGTTTTGTTGATTTTCCATTTAATTTCCAAAGTCTTTTATACTGAATGCATCCTTAACTTTGCCAAAAACTTAATATTTCTATTGTTGAAAACCAAGAAGTGAGACATAACTATATTTTAACCTTAATTTTAATTCATGTCTGATTTTTACTTGAAAGCACTGCCTTCTTCCTCTTTTTGGGAAGGATTTAAAGAAAGATGTTTTACTTCATTCACCAATCATTGTGTGCTTTCAAAGCTACGCACCATCATAAATACAGCTTTGCAAAGCTAAAAAGTATGCATGTTTTGATTGAGGGATATTCAAGATGGTGGCGTGAGAGGTGAGGCAGAGAACTCCTCCCAAAGCCACAAATAGTATGAAAATATAATTAGTTAATACAACTAACCCTAAAACAGCAACAGGAAGGAAGGCTGAACCAGACTGCATACAGACCTCACAAGCAGAGCAGACCTCACGAGGTGGGGTAACATACGAGAGCCTTGATCCGACAGGACCCAAGCCCGTCCCCCACCCCAGCTCACTGGCAGGAGGAAGAGAAACAGAGCAGGGTGGGTGGAAACCCGGGACTGCTGAACACCAGGCCCTGGTAATCTGCTTTGCGAGCAGAAACCTACATTGTGTGGTGCTCTGGAGGTTGGGGAGCTGGACAGGCAGAGTGCTTGGGAGACTGGGATTCTGGCCATTTGTGGAGGACAAGGATTCACATCTGGCCACTCTGTGACAGAGGAAAGGCAGGTGGTCTGAGGCTTCCTAGCAGAGAGGGCTGCTGAAGGGGCAGGGTTTGTGTGGAGCTTACTGCGCGGAAGAGGGGAGAGCTGGACAAAGTTGTCAGGGTACCCACTGCCCAGCAGGTTGGGAACTTTGAGATGCTTCAGGTGCTCCATCCCCCTGGCTGGCTGCTCAGCTCTGAGGCCCCGCACTGTGACATGTAGCCTGCCGAGCCTTCCTCCAGGCCTGATGGCACCAGCTCACAAACTGGCAGTCACTTCGCTGGTGTGAAGCCAACCAGAGGGAGGCCTCACCTACAACAGCTAGAGATGCCAAGCAAAGAGGCTTACACCTGTGTGCTCGGCCCACTGGCTCTGATACTGGAGACAGGCACTGAAGACGGGAATCAGGGAACAGCTCTTTCCTCCCATCAAGCACCAGCTACGCTCCCCTATGACCCCCATCCTCACTCTAGGTGCTGAGCAGCTCCAGAGACTGGAACTTCTGGGCACTAGAGGGAACCACAGAGAAATATGAAACATCAAAAGAACCTGGTTCAGACCAAAATCTCACAAAGCCCAGAAAAAGGGCCAAATGAAACTGAACTCACCAATCTTCCTAAAAGAGAGTTCAAAATAAAAATCATAAACATGCTTATGGAGGTACAGAAAAATAATCAAGAACTCAGGAATGAATTTGAGATGGAGATTCAATCATTAAGAAATTTCATACCTAAAATGAAACATACAAAGGAGGGATTTAAAAGCGGATTTGATGTAGTAGAAGAGATGGTAAATGGAATAGAAATTAGAGAAGAGGAATACAAAGAAGCTGAGGCACCAAGAGAAAATAGAATCTCTAAGAATGAGAGAATATTGAGAGAACTGTTTGACCAATCCAAACAGAACAATATCCGCATTATAGGGGTAACAGAAGAAGAACAGAAAGAAAAAGGGATAGAAAGTGTCTTTGAGGAGGTAATTGCTGAAAACTTCCCCAATCTGGGGAAGGAGATAGTCTCTCAAGCCATGGAGGTGCACAGATCTCCCAACACAAGAGACCCAAGGAAGACAACACCAAAACATATAATAATTAAAATGGCATAGATCAAGGATAAAGACAGACTTTTAAAAGCACCTAGAGAGAGAAAAAAAAAACACATAAAAAGGAAAACCCATCAGACCATCATCAGATTTCTCATCAGAAACCTTATAGGCCAAAGGGAGTGGCATGATATATTTAATGCAATGAAGCAAAAGGGCCTTGAAACAAGAATACTCTACCCGGCAAGATTATCATTTAAATTTGAAGGAGGGATTACACAATTTTCAGATAAGCAAAAGCTGAGACAATTTACCTCCCACAAATCACTTTTACAGTGAATTTTGGAGGGACTACTACAGATGGAAGTATTTCTAAGGCTAAATAACTGTCACCCAAAGGATAGACAAAGAGATGTCACCCAAGGGATAGACAGAATATGATTCATAACATACAGAAATGGAGAAGGAAGAAAAAGGAAAAAAAAAAAAGAACTTTTAGATTGTGTTTGTAATAGCATACTAAGTGAATTTAGTTAGACTCTTAGTAAGGAAGTTACCCTTGAACCTTTGGTAACCATGAATCTAAACGTTGCAATGGCAATAAGTACATACCTATTGATAATCACCCTAAATGGAAATGGTCTGAATGCACCAATCAAAAGACACAGAGTTGCTGAATGGATAAGAAAACAAGACCCAACTATATGCTGCCTACAAGAGACTTCAAACCAAAGACATGCACAGGTGGAAAAGAAAGGAAAAGGACATTTCATGCAACTAATAGGGAGAAAAAAAGCAGGAGTTGCAGTACTTTTATCAGATAAAATAGACTTCAAAACAAAGAAAGTCACAAGAGACAAAGAAAAACATTACATAATGATAATGGGGTCAGTCCAACAAAATGATATAACTATTATAAATATCTATGCACCCAACACAGGATCACCTACATATGTGAAACAAATACTAACAGGATTAAAAGGGGAAATAGAATGCAATGCATTCATTTTAGGAGACTTCAACACTTCACTCACTCTGAAGGACAGATCAACCAGACAGAAAATAAGTAAAGGCACTGAACAACACATTAGAACAGATGAACCTAACAGAAATCTACAGAACTCTACACCAAAAGCAGCAGAATACACATTCTTGTCAAGTGCACATGGAACATTTCCAAGAATAGATCATATACTAGGCCACAAAAAGAGTCTTAGTAAAATTCAAAGATTGAAATTGTACAAACCAGTTTCTCAACCACAAAGGTATGAAACTAGCAATTAATTATGCAAAGAAAATGAAAAACCCCACAACCACATGGAGGCTTAATAACAGGCTCCTAAATAATCAATGGATCAATGACCAAATAAAAACAGATCAAACAATATATGGAGACAAATGAAAACAATAATTCAACAGTTCAATATCTGTGGGACACAGCGAAGGCCGTGCTAAGAGGGAAGTATATTGCACTACAGGCCTACCTCAGGAAAGAAGAACAATGCCAAATGAACACTCTAAACTCAGAATTAATGAAACTAGAAAAGGAAGAACAAATGAGGCCCAAACTTAATAGGAGTGACATAACAAAGATTAGAGCAGAAATAAATAAAATTGAGAAGAATAAAACAATAGGAAGAATCAATGAAAGCAGGAGCTGGTTCTTCAGGAAAATAATGAAAAAAGATAAACCCCTAGGCAGACTTAATCAAGAAAAAAAGAGTCTACACACAAACAGAATCAGAAATGAGAAAGGAAAAATCACTATGGACACCACATAAATACAAAGAATTATGAGAGAATACTATGAAAAGTTATATGCTAACAAACTGGATAACCTAGAAGAAATGGACAACTTTCTAGAAAAATACAACCTTCCATGGCTGACCCAGGAAAAAACAGAAAATCTGAATAGAACAATTACCACCAAAGAAATTGAATTGGTAATCAAAAATCTACCTAAGAACAAAATTCCTGAACCAGATAGTTTCACTGCTTAATTTTATCAAACATTTAGTGAAGACCTAATACCCATCCTCCTTAAAGTTTTCCAAAAAGTTGAAGAGGAGGGAATAATCCCAAACTCATTCTATGAGGCCAACATCACTCTAATACCAAAACCAGGCAAAGACACCCAAAAAAAAAAGAAAATTACAGACCAATATCCCTGATAAAGATAGATGCAAAAATACTCAACAAAATATTAGCAAACCTAACTCAAAAATGCATCAAAAATATCCATCATGATCAAGTGGAATTCATCCCAGGGATGCAAGGATGGTACAACATACAAAAATACATCAACATCATCACTACATCAACAAAAAGCAGGACAAAAACCACATGATCATCTCCATAGATGCTGAAAAGGCATTCAACAAAATTCAACATCCGTTCGTGATAAAAACTCTCAACAAAACGGGTGTAGAGGGCAAGTACCTCAACATAATAAAGGTCATATATGACAAACCCACAGCCAACATCATACTTAACAGTGAGAAGCTGAAAGCTTTTCCTTTAAGATGGGGAACAAGACAAGGATGCCCACTCTCCCCACTTTTATTCAGCATAGTACTGGAGTTCCTAGCCATGGCAATCAGACAACACAAAGAAATAAATGCATCCAGATTGGCAAGGAACAAGTCAAACTGTCACTGTTTGGAGATGACATGTTATTGTACATAAAAACCCTAAAGACTCCACTCCCAAACTACTAGAACTAATATCTGAAATCAGCAAAGTTGCAGGGTACAAAATTAATACACAGAAATCTGTTGCATTCCTATACACTAAAGATGAACTAGCAGAAAGAGAAATCAGGAAAATAATTCCATTCACAATTGCATCAAAAGAATAAAATGCCTAGGAATTAAACCTAACCAAGGAAGTGAAAGACTTATACTCTCATAACTACAAGACACTCATGAGAGAAATTAAAGAAGAACCCAACAAATGGAAACACATCCCATGCTCATGGATAGGAAGAATTAATATTGTCAAAATGGCCATCCTGCCTGAAGCAATCTACAGATTCAATGCAATCTCTATCAAAATACCAACAGCATTCTTCAGTGATCTAGAGCAAACAGTTCTAAAATTCATATGGAACCACAAAAGACCTCAATTAGCCAAAGCAATCCTGAGAAGAAAGAATAAAGTAGGGGGGATTACACTCCCTGACTTCAAGCTCTACTACAAATCCACAGTAATCAGGCCAATTTGGTACTTTGATGAGAATAGACCCATAGACCAATGGAACAGAATATAGAGCCCAAATATAAACACAAGCATATATGGTCAATTAATATACATAAAGGAGCGATGGGTATACAGTGGGGAAACGACAGCATCTTCAGCAGCTGGTGTTGGCAAAACTGGACAGGTACATGTAAGAGAATGGAACTGGATCACTGTCTAACCCCATACACAAATGTAAACTCAAAATAGATCAAGGACCTGAAGGTAAGTCATGAAACCATAAAACTCTTAGGAAAAAAACATAGGCAAAAATCTCTTGGACATAAACATGAGCAACTTTTTCATGAACATATCTCCCCAGACAAGGGAAACAAAAGCAAAAATGAACAAGTGGGACTATATCAAACTAAAAACCTTCTGTACAGCAAAGGGCACTATCAGTAGAACATAAAAACATCCTACAGTACGTGAGAATATATTCATAAATGATATATCTAATAAGGGGTTGACATCTAAATTATATAAAGAGCTCATGCACCTCAACAAACAAAAAGCAAATAATCCAATTAAAAAATGGGCAGAGGATTTGAACAGACAATTCTCCAAAGAAGAAATTCAGATGGCCAATAGGCACATGAGAAAATGCTCCACATCACTAATAATCAGAGAAATGTGAATTAAAACCACAGTGAGATACTGCCTGACACCAGTAAGGATGGCCACCATCCGAAAGACAAACAACAAATGTTGGCGAGGATGTGGAGAAAGGGAAACCCTCCTTCCTACACTGCTAGTGGGAATGTAAATTAGTTCAACCATTGTGGAAAGCAATATGGAGGTTCCTCAAAAAGCTCAAAATAGAAATACCATTTGACCCAGGAATTCCACTTCTAGGAATTTCCCCTAAGAATGCAGCAGCCCAGTTTGAAAATGACATAAACACCTCTACATTTATCGCAGCACTATTTACAATAGCAAAGAAATGGAAGCAACCAAGTGTCCTTCAGTAGATGAATGGATAAAGAAGATGTGGTACATATATCCAATGGAATATTATTCAGCCATAAGAAGAAAATAAATCCTACCATTTGCAACAGCATGGATGGAGCTAAAGGGTATTATGCTCAGTGAAATAAGCCAGGCAGAGAAAGACAAGTACCAAATGATTTCACTCATATGTGCAGTATAACAACAAAGAAAAAACTGAAGGAACAAAACAGCAGCAGAATCACAGAACCAAAGAATGGACTTACAGTTACCAAAGGAAAGGGACTGGGGAGGATGGGTGGGAAGGGAGGTATAAGGGTAAAAAGGGGCATTACAATTAGCACACATTATGTAGTGGAGGGGCAGTACACAGGAAAGGTAGTATAACACAGAGAAGACAAGTAATGATTCTGTAACATATTACTATGCTAATGGACAGTGAATGTAATGGGGTATGTGGTGGGGACATGATAATAGGGGGAATCTAGTAACCGTAATGTTGTTCAAGTAATTGTACATGAAGGATACCAAAAAAAAAAGAAGTATGCATGTTTTCTAGTGTATGTTTTTTGTTTTCTTGTTCTACCTTCATTGATAACTGAAGCAATGGAAAAATACTACCTACCTCCTTAAGGTTATCGCCTACCTGCCCATGAGAGAAGGCACAAATTAAGTACTTTTACTGTGGATTACCAGCTACCAAATGGTATATTCATGTTGTTAATTTTTAATTTATTTTGAACTGAGTTGTTTTTTATCTTGCCAGAGCTGCATGTAAACCAGAGCACCCCAAATAAAGGAAAACAGGAATGGCTTTCAAAGCAGAAAGATAATATACAGCATTTCCAGGCAGAGGAAACAACTAATCTTCTTCAACGTCAGGGACAGTACATAGAGCTGCAGTGCCATCGCTTCAAAAGAGAAATGTTACTTGGGCATCATAACTTGGAGCAGGACCTTGTCAGGGAGGTATGTTTAAATGGTGGAAATCAGAATCTTCCTGAAAATATGTCAGTCACATCCCACCGTCAGGGCCTTAGAGCGCTTCTGCTTCCCTTTGCCTAAGTCTTTCTTCCTTGGAAACCGAACCCACACAGTTCACCTTCTCCCTCACTTCATATCTTCTCTGTTCTGATCAGCAAATCCTTCTCCCTTCTTTAAATATTCTTGCACTCCTCTCTCTGTGTCACACACACACACGTGCACGTGCACACTCTTATGGGGATGTCTCGCTCCCCAACTGGAATGGAAATTATATGAAGTCCCAGGTTTTATTAAGGGCTTTTATATCCAGTGGATAGATATATCCAGGCATTATAGGTAGTGGCTGGCCCATAATAGGTGTTCAATAAATATGTATTAAGTGAATATTTAATATTAAATCCATGAATGAAGTAAGTATTAATTTTTAAATATGAGAAAATTAATTGGATAACGTATGCTTCTTCATCTGAAATGGGTACCATGAAGGTATATACTATTATTTAACATATTTTTATAGCCATGAAATTAGTCACTGGGCATATATAGAAAACTCTAATGCCAATGAAAACAACGGTTCTCATCAGGTATATCTATGAGCATAGATCAATTTATTTCCAAGAGTGGTTTAAAATAAGCTTCAAATATAACATAATTATTCAAATTCACTAATAATTAAAGAAATTCAAATTAGAACAATTGCATGAATTAGATAAGATCAGTCTAAAAAATTGGTAAGCATGGGAAAGTGGGCAATGTTGGTAAGAGTATAAATTGATACTGCCATTTTAGAGCATATTTCAGCAGCTTTAACAATTTATTTTGCATGTATCTCCTACCCATCAAATCCAGTTCTAGAATTCTATCCTAAATAAATAATAACATAATTATATGGTGTATCGTTTGTAGATGTTTAATGAAAATTTGTCATAAAGCAAGAAATGGAAAAACTGGCATCACAAAGCAGAAGCTTACTATAAAACTTTAAGAAAAAAGATCTCTGTGTCCTGATCTGATCTGGATATTTGTCCATTATATTTTTAGATAAAGAAAGCATATTATATGCCTAAAATATATATTGTTATTCAATTTTAAAACTGTATGTTTTTGTGTAACAATTGTGTCACAATAAGCATGGTGAAGGTTGGGAAACAAGCACCAAATGTTGGCCCCTGGAGAAGGGCCAGCAGAGGCAAAGGGGGCAAATTTGACTTCCTTCTACATAGAAGGAGAGAGAGAGCATGTGAGTTTATGTGTGTGTGTTGTACATTTGATCTTTTTAAAAAATTGTCATAACATTTATTGATCATGTGGTAGGTATTCTGAGAGCTTTCCACTTAGGAACTCATTTCACGCTCATGTTAGTTTCATGAAACAGCTATGTTATGGTCTCCATTTGAGAAGTAATGAAATTGAAGCATGGAGAGTTTAAGTAATTAACCCAGGACTCACTGCTAGTCGGTAGCCAATCCAGGTTTTAGAAAGCAGGCAGTCTAGCCCTAGAGTCTTGTGTTCTTAACCACCACACTCTACTGGGCATACAGCATGTATACTCTGAAGAAATTCAAAGGATGACTTAGAAGTCCCCTTCAAATACAAAATTAGGAAACATAAGTGAAGGAAAGAGAGTAGAAAGGACATTAAGTCTCTTGGGACAGATTTGATATGTCTTAAGCTTATTGCTAAAAATAGTATAAAGAGTAAATGAACAGATAAGGAAATTATGCTTCTAATTTACTACAGTTAAAGTAATAAAACTCTAATATTTACTGTGAGCCATTATTAAATCAGAGGATTACATCTATATCCTGGTTATTCTGTTGCTTAGGATTTTTTTTCTCCTGGCATTGTACATCTTGTGTTATGAATTAGGAGTTAAATAAGAGGCAGTCTCAAAAGGACTTAGAGCATGCAATGCTACTGCGACAGCATGAATACATGCAAGAACTGGAGTTCCACCACCTCAACACAGTGCAGAAGATCCGCCGTGAGTTGATGAGACTGCAGCATCAAACCAAGCTCACTAACCAGCTGGAGCGTAATAAACGGAGAGAGCGAGAACTAAGGAGAAAGCATATTCCTAGAGGTTTGACAGCAGCCTAAGAGTCTGAAGGTACCTTTAGCCTAAGCTTCTTGACAAAGGGAACAGATAAAAGGCATCATGTAAACAGTAAAAGTCTAAGCCAGATGTCTGTCATAAAGAAATTGAATAAGCTTTTTTCGTTTTCATTTTAAGCATTTGGTTAGTTTTGATGTAGAGGGTCTGTACCTACAGACTTCTGCTTGTGTATTTCTCAGCAGAGTATGAAAAAATGGCCAGAACTTTTTAACTGCGGAAAGTGCCATAAATAAGATTCAAAATTCTTATTTTAAGTGTACCCAAATGTCCAGTGTTGATACTACAATCTATATCAACATACTAACCTGTTGGCTTCTCTGTTGTTCCAAGTTTTATAGTTTTGGGATCTTATTTCCTCTGAATGTAATTTGTATCTGAAAGAGGCAGTAAGTTCTTGATTAGTACAGAAAACCAGAGAATGAAAAATGCCTTTTTACCCCCTCTCCCTTCATTGTCTATACTCATCCTAAGAGGAATAGTGGAATTATCACATTGTTACTCCCATTCTTTCTGTGCTTGGTAACATAGGTAAGACCAGGGCATGTGTAGTTGGAGTGTATCTTTTTAATTAGTACATCAGAGTGAAGCAAGGTATTATATGCTCTCTTGTAGACAAATAAGGAAAGACAAGTGTTGGTGATATATAATATCAAAGGACTTTAAATTTTGTATTTGCTTTCATAGAGAAATTTATTCATATGATACAAAATTTAAAAGATGCCAAAGTGTGTGTATTATAAAGTTAAAGGTTTCCCTCTCCTTGTTCTTTAAGCCACCTGGTCCAGCCCCCTCTACCAAAATCAACCAGAGTTAACAATTCCAAGGAATTTTCTAATTTTATAACTTGTAATAAATATGTGAAGTATAATCACATGAATCTTAATAAACAAAAAACCAAAATGACCCACTGTGTATGTTGTCATCCATAGTAGTACCTCAATTAATCTGTATGTGTCTGCACATTTTAAACTTGTATTTACATCCATTAAGGCCCAGATCCCACAGTATCTTCTTTACCCCCTTTTTCAAACTCTTTGACAATTTAACTATAACACTATCAGGTAACAGCACTTACCTGAATAACTCTCCTGAAGTGAAGTTAAATTCACTCACAGAAGCAATCTGTGTCCAAACCAGAAGCTAAACCACATCTAGTGTATCTCTGATTCCTATTCAACTCCATTCATGCAAGTTGTCCTGAACAAAATACAGAAGCAAAGCTAAGATTCACCCTTTCCTAGTGAATCTAAGTAAAATTTTACTTCGCTGTATCTTCAAAACAGCTAATGAACATCGTTTACAGAGTGGCTCATATGTTGACTACCCACATAACCGTCATTAGTTAATGCTTATCACAATCAGAATTCATAATGATTTTCCAGATTTATTTTGTCTTTGTAGTGGGTACATAGTAGTTTCCCACCAAAAGATATTTAAAGCATGTCTATAAAATTAATTACAGTTTTAAAGTGAGCAGCACCCAGAAGTAAACCAAACTGAAAGCTTGTTCGTTTTTTTTTTTTTGGTCAGACCATAAATCTGATATGACTCATTCCTCTGGGGCTTGGAATAGGTCACTTGTTTGCTGGTTAACTCTTCCTTTTTTTTCCCTGTTGTTGCAGCCTTCTCCGTTTGAAGGCTTGTAGACACTAGTCTGATTTTCACAGATACTATTAAAAAATCAAGGGGAAAAGTAATGTTTCAGTCATAGACTTCAGATAGAAAGCTTCCTTCTCATGATACATATGCTCAGGATTTTCTGTAAAAGAAATTGTTCTGTTACTTTAGTGGGAAAGAAAATCACCATGTTCCTCCTACTTGTATATATCTATCTACTTGCACAATTTGAACAAAACAAACTTTTTTTTCATTAAGGTATCATTGATAAACAATCTTATAAAGGTTTCACATGAGCAACATTGTGGTTTCAACATTCATACTATCAAGTCCCCTACCCCCACCCCATTGCAGTCACTGTCTATCAACATAGTAAGACACTATAGAGTCATTACTTGTCTTTACGGTGCTGTACTGCCTTCCCTGTGACCCACCTATATTGTGAGTGCTAATTATAGTTCCCCTTAATCCCCTTCTCCCTCCCCACTCATGCTCCCCAACCCCTTCCCTCTGGTAACCCTAGTCCCTTCTTGGAGAAAACAGACTCTATTTTAACATCAGGTCATTTCATTTACATAAGTAATAGTTGCAACTTTTTAGGTAAATTTGTATTTACTAAGTAATAGTTCAACTTCAATAGTTGCAACTATTCCAACTTTCTCCAAGACTTTAAGAGGGATAGGAGGACTTCAGTTTGCACACTTAGGTAAACTGACAGTATTTGTAGACATTGGGGCACCATTTCTGAGGAATGACTTGGGTAAACACATATTGTCTATCTGCCATCAGGTGATGTTATGTCATCAGTATAAAGTGATTAAGAAACAACTGGAACATATTTATCCTGCTTTCACTTGAGTGAAACATTGAGGGATATAGTTTATTCTTGGTATAAGTATTAATCCTGTTGAAAAAAATTTTCAAGGCATTCCTTTTTGTCATTAGCTAGTGATATGAAGTGACTATAATTCTCTTGGCAAAATATTTGAATATTTAAAAGTGTTTTAAAGAATGGAGTCTGTTACACAAAGTCAGAAGAGAATTCTAAATTTCATTGTTCCATTCCTGGCTAACTTGGAGGAATTTTATTAACCATGGGCAGTATTTAAGAGCAGTGCTAAGCGTAACTAAACCAAGCGTTTGTCTTTCTAGCTAGACATTTCTTGACCCTTCACAGAATAAAGGTACATGACTATTTTAAATATGAGAAAATTAATTGGATAACGTATGCTTCTTCATCTGAAATGGGTAC